AATTAGGGGATTAATTTATTAAGTTTAGGGAATTTGTGTAGGAGCCATTTTGGCATTGTTCCTATGCCCCAAATGGGGTAAGAGCAGTCACTTTTTAGGAATTTGATACTTTCGAGGATTGCATTGTAGGCATGGATTCACATTAATAAATGAACTTTAATTGCTATTTTTCCTTGGTGAGGCCGAGATTAGAATGGGGTAATGTCTAGTGAGAATCCGAAAGGTGAAAAATTAATTTATCTAGACCTCTTACCTTGCGAAAAAGAGAATGGGAGCCCCGGTCAAAAAGCGTAAGTGTTCTGCACAATAAGATGAGACTTGGGTATCTTTCGAAAGAAATGGCGTTCTCGTGCCAACATGACAAGGAAAACTAAACATAATTAATGAACTTGGAGGCTATTGCAAATTAGCTTTAGTTCTCCGCGCACTTCAAGTATACGTCAAAGCACCAATGTGCCGCGGTGGTTTAGCTTAGTTGTACACCATGCCTGCTCTTTGCATAGGTTTAAATGATTGTTCCTAAATTGTGGCCTACTAAGTTCCTTGATCCTAAGGTTAGCCCTAAAAGTTCCTAAATGCATTGAGTCTTTGCTAGAATATTCCAATCTCTCAAAAGAAAGGGACTGTTTTTTTTACCATTCACCGTCACCCTCACAAGTCCTTCTGATCAATAGCTAGTTTATTTGTGTATGCTGCCATTACTTCAAGGATGTTGTGAATAATTTTGTCATTTAAGTTAGCTAAAATACAAAGATGCAGTTTAGGGAAGAATTTTCTGGATTAAGATTGTCTGTTCTGTGAATATCCCTTTAACTATTGCGCATGCTAACTGTTTTAAATTCCGTGTGGTGATTATCGTAAGTCCCGTTGTTCGATTCGCTTGAGGACAAGAAAAAACATAAGTGTGGGGGAGTCTGATAAGTCCGTATTTAGACACGCATTTGATGCGTGTTCAGGTTGGATTTTGATGGTTTTCCTAGCTTTAAGGTGTTGCAAGTCTCAATTTTAGCTCAAGTTGTGATTACCAGACATTGAGTCGAGTTTTGTTGCATTTGGAGTCAAATTGGAGAAGTTAGAGTCCGGCAATCGGCGTTTGAGAGACAATCGGGAGGAGCTAGAGAGCAATCAAGAAAGATTTGAAAGATTTGGATGAAGTTTTGATGAAGTAAGAGCATTTGGATTGACCCCGGTTGCATGCGGGAGCGTTGGGGCAAGAAAACAAGAAAAAGAAGAAAAAAAGTGGACGCACGGTCGTGCGTCTGGTACGCACGATCGTGCGTCGGATACGAAATCACGAAGAATTCTCTGCCTGCTACGCACGATCGTGCGTAGTCAGGTACGCACGATCGTGCGTAACCCCGAGTTACGCGCGGTCGTTTCCCACATCGACCAGAATTCTGATTTTTCTCCTCTTTTCTATAAATAAGGCCTCTCTAACCCTTTTTAGTGGTGGTGAACATTACGGAGAGGCCTAGGGACGAATTTAACACTGTTTTAACACTATTTTCTTCCAAGACCCTGAGATTATTTGTAAGTTCATCTTTTTAATTAATGACAATTTATTCTATTCTTCCCAATTCTGTTGATTCTTCAATTATGAATTGTGAGTAGTTTAATTAGGGATTTGGGATTGATGAAGGGGTTAATCACGATGTATGGTTAGGTTCTTGATGGTGTAAATTGCATGAATGCCGTTTAATTTGTGTTTGAATAATTTAATTGATATCTTTTGTAACCTAGAATGGCCACTAGAATTACAATTGCATATAGAATAAATTAAGAGAGATCTAATTTGTTTTAGGACACATTCACACACACTTAATCGTTCGCTAAGAGATTAGTAGCGATCAAGGGGCCGTAAGCTCGTTCGTCTTGGCAATAATTTAGGATCCTGTCGCATGAGAGATCAGCCTGGTCCCCTAAATTATTGTACTCTACGCCGCGAGAGCGGTAAGAACTTAGTATTGATTAGCTAGGCTCAATTAAATTAAATTCATGTAATTAAGCCTGATCTACCAGAAATCTGATTACCCCGGAATCAATCCCTGTTCCCTTCGTTGTTAATTAAGAAGAACCCAATCATTTACTTTTAATCGTTTATTTGCAATTTTAGTTTTCTCAAGCAACCAAATCTCGCACGACAGCATCTGTTTTATTTTTTCTTTATCGTTGATTTTTAGTTAATTCTTAGTTCCCTTTTACCGTCCCTGTGGAGACGATACTCGTACTTTCACCGCTATATTACAATTTTTTTAAGTGCGAGAAAACTCATATCAAGTATAAAATATTAAACGCCCCCAAAGCTCAAAAACCAATCGATGCTGCAAACCGTGCACGCACACAGATCATAAAAGGTATGAGTAAAAAATCATGGCCAAAAGAGGGTGTAATAATATACACAACCCTTAGCCAAAACAAAAAATCAGGGGTGTTGCAAGATGCAAACACGCAAGTCCAATGCTGTAATCCGCGGCCTCCCAAAGCAAGAAGTCCCTATATCAAATCTTGATCAAGTCATGTGGATAGATACTAAAGAGTATCTTGCAAACCACATGTTTTATCTTCGCCATGATCTCATCAACTGTCTTATTTGCGTCATCAAAATGGTTTGCGTTCCTTCCATTCCATATCCAATAGATGGTCGCGCAGAAGGCTATCTGGACTGATTTTGCCTTGACCGTTGATTCTTTATACTTCGTCGTGATCCATTTGACCTGCAAAAGGAAAAGAGAAAAATAGATGTGGAATAGATTTTAGACCACCCTTACATAAGGCTAATCGCAACCCAGCCCGTCAATAAATCTAATTCCCCTCTAGTTTTTCTCTGCAACCCAGCACCGTCAATATATCCACTCAGCACATTTTTTTATTATTAAATGCATAAATCCTTGGTTATTTTATTACACATCATTTATGTGTTAATTTTATTTTTACCAATAATTATTGTTTAAAAACTCAAACATTCCGATGTAAAAAACTAAAAAATGCGAATTAATTTTTTAATGAATTCTTGAAGGCATCCAAATGAATTCTTGAAGATAACTGGTCTTTTAAATGCGCAGTTATCTTCAAGAATTCATTTGTATGCCTTCCCGATTGAAGTTTTAGTTCAAATTTGATATGAGTAAACTAGACTTAATGAATAAGATTCTCAAAAAAATTCATCAAAAAAGTCCACCGGAAACCGCCCCAAATAGTGTTGGCCGGACAGAGCATCCTAAATGTGGCTTTATTTGACAATTTTTTTCAAGTTTGAGGCCCTATCTGACCCTTATCCCTTTTATATACTATATACTTGTTTAATATTAAATTTAAATCAATTGAAACAAATTTAAATTTAAATCAAATCAAAGGTTAAATTGATATAACCTTCAATGCTACACACAAAACTCATAATATGAACCACTTTTTCCCTCCTGCAAATGTCAGTCCACTACTTTGGATGTCAGGCCCACCCTCTATGCGGGAGTCAATCAACCGCATAGATACCCCTCCCCTCGGTTTTCTCTATTGGGGATGAGACCTCTATATACTAAAATTCATTTGAGTTGTTGTTGTTGTTGGAAAAATGTGTTAAAAATGCATTAAATGGTCATTTTGGGGCAATTATTTGAGTGGGGTCCACTTTCGATTTGGGTCGGGTCAAAGTGGTTTCAGATTGTCCTTGTTAAGGGCTACAATTCGATATGTGGTACACTCAAAACGGATAACGGGTGAATGAGAAATTGATTCTCGAAGTTCACTCGTTGAAATGGAAAAACTGGGAAAAATGATGAGTTTCTAGTGTGTTTTATCCCACACCGAAAAACTCAAGGGATTTTCATCCCCTTATAAAGGGAAGCCTCTTTTAAGGATTTAAGATTCCTAAAGGGAAAGGCTCTCTCTTACGCGCAGGGGGGTGCCGATCAAATCCCGAAACGGAGAGAAGAAAAACCGCGACTCGTGTGCGCGGGCGACCTGCGGACACGAATGCCGTCCAAAAATCTATCTCTCAAGAGAAACGGATAATTTTTGTTTTCTTCCCAAAACGTTTATTTTTCCCAGAAGTGCTGGCTTCGGACAGAAACCCTCCAAAAGGTGTTCTGTTGGCTTCAGACAGAAACCCTCCAAGGGGTGTTCTGTTGGGGTCTTCTGTCGCGCATTTCTTCCGTTACAACTATTAATGCCCAACGTTCAGGTCCATTAACACCCCATTTAACACACAACAAATGCTCCTATAAATAGCTTGCAGGTGCTTTGCAACAAACACACGGTTTGACACAACGCACAATACATTCCTCACGTATTCTTCAGCTAAAAACACCTACAGCCACTCTGAAATTTCCTTCTGTGTTCTTCTTGGTTCTCGTTCGCTGGAACTCTTGTTTGTGTGCTCAAACACTAGTTCGTAGTCATCGTATCCTGGGAAATGATTGTTGCAACGCTCCTAGCACCGTGGGAGGCAACAAATACGTTTTAAGGAAATCATGTATAACACGAGCTTTGACTAATTCTGCTTCATCTCCTTTCTTGTTTTTCTTTAGTCATTTTATTTAATTAATTTATTTTAATTAATTTTCTTTATTTTCCGAAACACACCCAAAGGTTGTTTTGGGGTGAAAACTTCATATTTGGGGTTTTCACGGCATTGCAATCAGCCTTAAAACTAAGACTATCATGGGTAAGAAGCCACCTGTTAAAACTATGACCCTACTTTTAATAGGGAATGACATTTACGGTACATGTTTCGCCGAAATTTTCTGTTTTTTCAGTACAATCATAACTTCTTTGTAATCAATACTTACTACACCGAACATACATCAAAATTTTCATTTTGAGCAAAAAAAGTTGTCTACTGTCTGAAAATTTAGCAACGACCCGTCTTTTTCAATTCTCCCTTCCACCGAGCATTATTGTCGGGCGTTTTACTTCTTCTCCGCCCACTTTCCCCTTTATAGATACCTTAGCTTTCCTTTCTCTGATTCCTGTAGGGATTCATACATATATATATACGGACCAAAAAATAAAACAAAAGTCAAGCCTCAAAATGGTTGACCAAAAAGGAGAACCAATCAAGAAAACCCTTCTAACCACTTCTATTGATGACCCTGATCACCAAGATCCAGGTACGCCCCATGCGGCGGTTTCCGGCGTGCCTACTCACTACGTCCCCCCTCCACCGCCTCCCACTCTCTACATCCCCGCCGTCATTGAAACCGTCAAGCCTAAACGGCCTAGATACTCAGTAGCCGCCGCCAGTCAGTGGAAGCCGATACAGTCAACGATTAATAATTCCTCAAAGCCGGAGTCAACTCCACCGTCTCCGTCGGGGAACCCACAAGCCTCATCCTCGAACACCGCCACGTCGTCACCCACCCCCTCCCCCCGCCCGTCGGAGTCGGAGCATTTCCCGCAGCACCACCAGTTCCGGAAGGGCAAATACGTCAGTCCCGTCTGGAAACCTAACGAGATGCTGTGGCTGGCTAGGGCGTGGAGGATTCAGTATCAGGGCTCCTCCGCAGAGGAATCCGGCGCCGACCCTCCACTTGGGAGAGGGAAGACCCGCGCCGACAAGGACCGGGAGGTGGCGGAGTTCTTGAACCGGCACGGCGTGAACCGGGACGCAAAGACGGCCGGGACGAAGTGGGACAACATGTTGGGCGAGTTCAGGAAGGTCTATGAATGGGAGAGAGGAGGAGATAGCGAGAATATGGGGAAGAGTTACTTTCGTCTCTCCCCTTACGAGAGAAAGATCCACAGATTGCCAGCTTCCTTCGATGAAGAAGTGTTTGAAGAGTTATCCCAGTTTATGGGCACCAGAATGAGGTCAAATCCGCTGACCAGAGTCTCCGGCGGGCTCGCCATAGTTTCCAGCGGTCCGGGTGGGGATGCTTTTATAATCCCAAAGCCTCTGCCGCCGCCGCCAGCTCATTATCCCCTGTTAGGGTTAGAACCGTCTTTTCTACCAAGTAGCAGTGTGAGAAGGATAGGGAAGATCAGAATGGTGTGGGAGGAGAGTGTGAGCATATGGGCTGAAGAGGGAGAGCATCATAGGGGTAGGGTTAAGCTTCTTCCTGGGTCGAGCTTCTTGAACGCCGATGAACTGGCGTTCTTTGATGACTGCATGGTTGCATCAACAATGGAGTCTTTTGAGGATGGTCCACTAAAAGGTTTATCCGTTGACCGGTTCATATCAGGTCAACATCTCAAAGTCTTTGGCCGTAGGAGGCCTTTATCATCTGGTAATTAATCACCTTTCCTAATCTTCCCTTGAGCTACTTAATTAATGTAAATTAAATTAATAATTGTTTATTTTATGTAATCTGATCTTATTGAAATCATTAATCACTTGGCTAATTGGGATTTTTGTGTACTACATAACAGTTGTTTCAAGTGAGCGATTTAATCAACTTCATTTTGGGGAAGCTTCTACTCGGTGTAAGTGTGCTTACAAGTTTAATGTGTTTCATTTCCAGAAGCATATTATATTGACCATAGGGCTAGTGACGATCTGTCTTTAATTCAGGTTATGTTTCAATACATAGGTTTTGCATTGGATCTTGAAATTGATGTATTGTCTTGTTTTATGTTATGTTATCTAATTCCCTATAAACCTAGCTAGTGGTTTCTTAATTTGTGAAAGAAATAAATTTCTCTGCATAGGAAATTAAAATATAATACTCCGTATGGTTTACTTTAAATGTAGGACCAAATTTTATCAACTCTCGATATATCACATATTTTTTCCTACTACACTTTAAAAACATCCTCAAATAGTGGTGGATGGATTCTCTATTAAGAAGCAACAAATGAACAATGATGCTTGGTGTAGAAGCCATTGTACACGAAATTTTATGGGAAGTCAAATTGTTTGTATATAGACAATTTGACTTGTGTTTTGTGATAACATCCGGTTTTCACATTGTACACGAAATGTGAGAAACAATTTTTTTTGTCTGTGCGAAAATTAATTCTGTTCAACGAACGTCGATCAAATTGTTTCTATATAGACAGTTTGACCGGCGTTTAAAATATCGTGTACAAACAACATTTTCGACAATACTCTATCAGCTAGAAAACAGTTTTACTCAGTATGTTTAAGTATTTTACATCTATTTGGTAATGAAAACTTTCTATAGCGAAGATTATAATGTTCCCTCTTTCATATACTATATCAGCTAGAAAAACGAAAAAGAACATTTAATATCAAATTTTGTGCATCCATGCCACTAATGTAATGTATTTTCCTGTCTAAATAACCTTTGTCAAGCAATGTACTACCACTTCCTCCTATAAAATTTGGTCATCTTAAAAACATTAGTATTTTCTATTTAAAGTAATAAATGTGTGGTTAAAGTTATTTTTTTCTCTTTTGCAAAGATTTAATCACACCGTTTTACTTTATTATCCCATGTGCAACTCAATTTGGCCAAATTTTATGGCGAGAGTATTTATATAATGTATCAAACCACACCACAAATTATATTTATTTTCTATCACAAAGTACCATTTAATTTGTATTCCACACTGCCTTTCAATTAGCTTTTGTATTAAAACGTTTATGTAGTTTGAAAATCATTATTCAATAAAAAATTAGAGGTTATCGATCTTTAATTTAATATTTTAGTTAAATTCACACCTTAATGAGAAAACATCTTAAATCGGGACACTCAAGTCAAGAAAATAACCCTAAGTACATTGGAGCTCACACAAGAAAACTACTTGTGTTTGTTATGTGAGGGTAATGAAGTGTATGTGTGAATACTTTGTACTCCCTCCGTCCCTTAAAATTTTGACATCTTTCCTTTTTGGGACGTCCCAAAAAATTTTGTCAATTTCTCTTTTAATCAATTATTTTGTGATTTCTATTATTTCTCTCTCTTCTTCACCAACCTCAACCACACAGGTTTTACTTTATTTTTCTCCGTGTCGATCAACTTTGGCAAAGTTTTAAGGAAAATTTAGAGGATCAATAGATGCTCCTAGTGAAAAGGATACGTAGTACTTTTACTGGTTAGTTTTTCAATGTCTATCTTTCATATCCCATCCATCACATGTGTAGCTATTATACAAGTTCCATTGGAGATGTTGACAACCACAATAAATGAAGATAATTTTTTCTATTAGGGCTCTTAAGCATTCAATGAACAAATTCAATGCCAATATTCAAACCAGACACTTTTGCCTTAAAGTTTTAAAGGATTTAAGATGCCTTTGATTTTTCTCAGAAAAGGAGTTATTGATTAATAAAAAACAATTACTCTATGTCAAAAGAACAGATTAGTCATTTTTATACCGAAATTGCCCAAAATAGAAGTAAAAAGTAGGAAAATTCCTCAACAATGAGTGGCGTAGGTTGTTATTTTCACTAATCTCAAGACTTGGTGTATGCATGTCACTGTGGCAGCTAGCTCTGTTGTATGGTAGAGGATCTCAATCGGCATTGTTCTAACGTTTTTTCGGGTTTTAGTTTGGATTTATTTGTTAAAATATTTTAGGAACTATATATGCAACACTATTGAACTTTGATACAACATTGCAGCAATTCCTTCATGGGAATTTCAAGATCCAACGGAGTACTACGTAGGATGTTTGAGGGTACCCCCACCCACATTGCCATGCCTCTTTGACCTCTCTTGGTACTTACAAGAACCACCCCCAGAAGAGCTTCGTTTCCCTCTGAGAAAAGACCTGTACAAAGATTTACCCCACGGGAAAGAGTTATTCTTCACAACCTCCAACGAACTATTGGACTGTCGAGGCATCGTTCTTGAAATTCTCAGCTCCATTATCAGACCAAACCCCACCATCCACAGTGACCTAAGCAGAGATTCTCTCATTGGACTTTGGGATGACTGCATCAATCGGATAGTAACCAAATTTTGCTCCATCGACTTGACTTTCATCAGAAAGTCTTCTTCTCCTTTGGCCGAAACGATCAAAGACCAGTGGCCGAATGTCACGGCTTTCATTGGGAGTGTTTGTTTGTGGAGGGGAGAGGAGACCGGTCAACTTAAGGAAGGCCAGCTGGACCCTTCGTCAACGCTCGTTGAAAAGATGACGTGGACCTATGAGGATCTTCCGTACGTCTTAGGTTACTATGCTGTCGGGTTCCACGTCACGTTCTGCGCGTTAACCCGTTTACAAGACCGCATCGTACGGACGGATCTTTACACCGTTGACCTCTCCACACCGTCGGAGAGACTGAAGGCCATGGTCCCTTGCTGGAGAATAGCCGGCTTGTTGACTCTCTTGGCTGAACGGTGCGTTGACGACGGAAAGGTCAATGCTGACTTTGAGAGAATTGATCTTGGAAACGGAAACCGACTAGAGATGACGCCAAACATAGCCGTTAGGTATTTGGCTTTTTTCCATGGTTATTATTTATCTCTCCTAATATTATCTTCTTTCTCTTCTTTTTTCTTTTCGTCCGATCTAATATAAACTTTTTTCACCATTTTTGACACGAATAATGTGTACTTCACAAATATTTGCCCCCCTTCTTTCTTCTCTGCACAATTTTATATCACACATTTTTCTTTTTTTTTTTTAAATATTTTGCCAAGTCAAAACAAGAATTAGTATTGGGACGAAAGGAATATTAAATTAAATTCAAAAGATAACAATATGAATTATTTAAAAAAAAATAAAAAAAACAAGCTAGTTTGTAGTGATTCATCATCTACAAGTGTTTTATCACTCCCACATACACTATAATGACTCTAGGTCAGTTATTTTTATCACTAGAATGTGTTATCATATATTTATCCAAAAACATAATTTTTTCATAATTTTGTACATGAAAATTTAGTAAGGAGTAATATACATGTAATTTTTTCTAGGTATTTGTCGAGCAAAACCAAGTGGGCTGCGGTCAAAGAGATATACGACTTTCTTGAACGTCGGGTCCCACACGCGGAGTTCCTCGTCCGGTCGTCCGAGAAGGATCTTGCCTTGGTATTCAAGCCAAGGGGTTACCGATTCCGGCCGGCCAGTTGTGAACAGTTAGTGGAAGCGCTTAAGCAAGTGACGAAGGCGTTGGTAGCTTTACACGACCTCCCATTCATGCACAGAGACTTGGGGTGGGATAAAGTGATGAGGAGCAGCGATAGAGACGGCGGGGAGTGGTTCTTGACGGGGTTCGACGAGGCAGTGGTGGCGCCGCAGATAAATCCGCACGTGGCGGCGGCGAGTGGGAGGCACGCGCCGGAGATGGGAAGGGGTTTGCATGGGGTGAAGGTGGACGTGTGGGGGGTGGGCCAGCTGTTGAAGACGTGTGAGGTGGCGGGAGTACCGAAGTTGCTGAGGGAGTTGCAGAAAAGGTGTTTGGACCATAACCCGGAGCAGCGACCGTCGGCAGCAGACTGCTACCACCACCTCCTGCAGCTGCAGTCTTCGATGTCAGCTGCCGCCGCCGCCGTTTCAGCCTCCGCAGGGTATTGAGTGTTTTAATGTGTGATTGATTGAAGCATCTAGCAGCAGGCCAGCACTTTACGGTCCGTCGTTTTCTTCTTTTTCTGGAGTCCACAAGATAATAAATTCAATTTTGTTTTGTACCATTAAGACCCAATAAGGCGGCATTATTAACATCCATTCTGTTTAATTTTGTAGGTTAGAAGCAAATGATGGTATTAGATTAGATGGATTATAATGATTGAACAAAAGTATTAATGTCACTGACTCAACTGAAATGAGTTTTGCATTTCTAAACAGAGACAAGCAAATTACGGTCAAATGAGTGAGGATAACTCCATGTTCGTATATATGGACGTTAAGCACAATTTAAAGAAGTTAGTAGTTTATTTCATACTTAATGAATTTCATCATTTATACGGAGTAATATGTTAACTCGTCTTCTCCCTTGAAAGAAACGTCATCTTCATTTATAAAATAAGGCCTTTTAAAAGTACCATTAAGAATCTATTGAAAAAATAAATTTACCGCCATGGTTGCACAAAACTCGAGTAGTGAGTTGTCCTTCTATCTAAATTTAAAAATAAATTTACTGCCGTTGGGTGAAAGAGTGCGAGGATTTTTATACTCCCTCCGGTCCTAAATAAGCTTCACACTTTGACTTTATAAAAATTAAAATAATAAATTTGAATTTACTGTAGAGTACATTGTTGTGACATTGTTTGACATTGTTTGGCACTGTTTAGTCTGTTTTGCACTGTTTTGATGTAGATAATTTACCAAATAAGGAAGAGAGAAGAAGTGTGAAGTTCATTTTGGACCTACCCAAAAAGGAAAATGTGAAATTTATTTAGGATCGGAGGAAGTATATTACAATGTTGGAAGGACGAATATTTTCCATTTATCTAACAATGATGAAACAAATTGTATATATTCATACCAATTTTAATAGTTGCGGTTGAATAGGAGTTCACTAACGCAGTCAATGCCCTTAGCGAATATAGGATACAATTGGGTGTTCGATCACTTGAAACTAGTGATGGATTCGGTTCGGGCCATCCGGCCCGTGACCCGGCCCGGCCCGGCCCGATACTGTGTGGGCCCGGGACCGGCCCGGTCAGGCGGTCCGGGACCGGGTATGGGCCCGAACCGGGGGGAAGGGGTGGGGCGGTCTCGGTTCATCATTTTTGTGACCCGGCCCGGCCGGGTCGGGCCCGGGTCCGGGTCTATTTTATAAAAAAAAACTTTTTATTTTTATTTTTGGCTACTAGCCGTTGAGGGCTTGGGGGTGGGGCTGGGGACAACCCAAACGGCTATATAGCCGTTGGGTGGGGTAAAGGGGGGGTCCGGGGGGTTGGCTGGTAGGGTGGGGGGTGGGGGGGGGGGTGGGGGGTAAAAAAACCTATAAATTCTCCTACTCTTTAACATTTTTTCATATCTCTTCTCCAATTCTTCCTAAATCCTATTCTTAACTCTCTACTCTCTAATTCTCTTATTCTCCAATATATTATATATCTACTCTCTAATTCTCTTCTCCAAGAAGTTAAGATGGAAAATCAAAATGCCATTATACGGTATAATTTTGATAAGCAGAAGGACCCGAAGACCGGGATGTGGTACGCAATTTGTAAATGGTGCGAAAAAAAATGTATTATGGGTGCTTCAGGCGGATTCGGGATGGCAATCAAGCATATGAAGTCATGTGACAAAGCCAAAGGATCGGGAGGTGCGGGAAGTTCCGATTGATTACAATTTTCAAAATGTTTATCACTTTATCTCTTAAAGTTTGTTTTAATTTTCAAATGTAGTTCCTATTTCATTTCAAATAAATGCAATTGAAGTTTGTTTTTAATACTCGTATAAAATTATAAACTATAAAATATAAAATATAAATTATAAAAAAAAAATTAACCGGCCCGGCCCGAACCGGACCCGACCCGTGACCCGGGCGGGTGGCCCGGCCCGAACCGGACCCGTCCAACCCTCGGGCCGGTCCCGGGCCCACTGTTCTTGAACCGGCGGCCCGACCGGGCCTAGGCCCGGCCCGGGCCCGACCCGGCCCGAATCCATCAATACTTGAAACACTTGTGAGTTTACATGATTAGATAAAGGTAGGGTGCAAACCAGCCGAGCCTGAACATGAGTATGCTTGAGCTTGAGTTTGATAAGAATTCACAAGCTCGATCTCGAGTTTTGACGAGTTAAATAATTCGGGCTTGTAATCGAGCCGAGCTCAGCTCGAGCTCCACTCAAGCTCAATTCGAGCTCTGTTCGAACTCGATTGCTAATTATTTTTATAGATTTGAAGTTGAATAAGATGCTCGAACTCGAGCTAAAAATATAATATGTGTAGATATTCATTCTCATTTTTAGTATATATCTCCTTAATTCACAGTTTTATTCTTTATTTTACTGTTAATAAATATTACGGGTACATATTATAATTATTATAGATTATGGTTATAATAGTAATACTACATACAAGTTATTATTTTTGTAATTATTACTATTATAATATACTTCATGATAATTATTGAAATGCAATAGTCCTAAATCAGAATACATATTCCAAAAAATTAAAGTTCATATATAATCATTACATATATAATTACTCCTTCCGTCCCGCTAACAATGGGACAAGAGTAGGGATGGACCAAACCGGGTCGGCCCGGCCCTGAACCGGCCCGGCCCGCCACTGTGCGGGCCCGGCCCGGCCCGGTTAAGGATAGGGCGGTGCGGGCTTTGACCCGGCCCGGGGGAGGCTAGCGGTTCGGGCACGGTTCACAAAAAGGAAGGCCCGGCCCGCCCGGTTCGGGCCAACAGCTATTTTTTTTTTAATTTTTTATTCTTTTGGCTATCCAAACAGGCCTTAGAGCCGTTGTGATTGAACCCAAACGGCTATATAGCCATTGGGAGCCTTCCTGGGGTCCAGGGGTGGGGGTGGGGGTGGGGGTACAAAAAAACTATAAATACTCCATTTTTTCTATACAATTTACTACACATCTTCTCCAAATATTTCTACTCTCTAATCTCTATTCTCTACTAATCTTCTCCATCTTCATCTTCTCAAATTTATAACTACATATATTATATTATATTTACATATATAATCATCTCTAATTTATTTACTTATATTTACATTTTAGATATACTTAATATATACTTATATATATCAAAGTATTATATATGAGTGTATTACTAATCTTAGAGTAATATACTTATATTATATATACTATAAACATAATATTATATATTACTAGTTAATCTACTTATTATCTACTTAAAAAAAATATATTAAGTATATCTACTTATACACTTATTATCTAATTGTTACATTTATTAATTTCCTATCATAGTAGTTAATTGTTACATTTATTAATCTCTTATCATAGTAGTTAGTTGTTACATTTATTAATCTCTATAAAAACTAGTTAATTGTTAAACTTGTTAAATAAAGTTGTTAGATTGTAAAACAAATAGTTCGAATTTTGTTAATTCGAAATTAATTATTTAATTGTTAAATTAGTTACTTTGTTACATTTATTAATCTCTTATCATAATAGTTCATTGTTACATTTATTAATCTCCTATAAAAACTAGTTAATTGGTAAACTAGTTAATTCGAAATTAATTGTTTAATTCTTAAACTAGTTAATTGTTGCATTTATTAATCTCCTATAAAAACTAGTTAATTGTTAGTTTGTTACATTTATTAATCTCTTATCATAGTAGTTAATTGTTACATTTATTAATCTCCTATAAAAACTAGTTAATTGGTAAACTATTTAATTCGAAATTAATTGTTTAATTCTTAAACTAGTTAATTGTTGCATTTATTAATCTCCTATAAAAACTAGTTAATTGTTAGTTTGTTACATTTATTAATCTTTTATCATAGTAGTTAATTGTTACATTTATTAATCTCCTATAAAAACTAGTTAATTGGTAAACTAGTTAATTCGAAATTAATTGTTTAATTCTTAAACTAGTTAATTGTTGCATTTATTAATCTCCTATAACAACTAGTTAATTGTTAGTTTGTTACATTTATTAATCTCCTATAAAAATTAGTTAATTGGTAAACTAGTTAATTCAAAATTAATTGCTTAATTGTTATTCGAATTTAATATTTGTTATATTTTTAATATGGAGCGTGGTAGAGCTTCTGTAGATATGGGTAACCTCCGCCGCAACCGAACAAAGGAGATTGCGAGGAGTGTTCCAAGGTCACGCAAAGGTAAGGGAGGGCAGTGGTCTTCATCTCAAACCCGAGATGATTTTGATGCGGATTACAACCAAAGATATGGGGATGCGATGTCCGATGAGCAACTAGAACAACTTTTGCAACAAAATCAAGGACGTTTTTTCATCAACAAGACATCCTGCAAACCATTGACGAAGAAGAGCTTGAGGATGATGATGCGGAGGAGAGGGATCCACGAACGGTCGAGGACGAGGATCATGGCACACCGGATGATGAGGAAGAGGAAGCGGAAGTGGCTACTTCTTCCCAAGCCGGTGAGAAATCTGAATCTGTCTTTAAGGCAAATTTTAAAAAAGTTAAAGACCTCGAAACCGAGATATGGTACGCCACTTGAAAGAATTGCAACAAAAAGTATAACTTGGGAATTTCTAGAGGGTACGGGAGCGCCACAAGGCATCTTAAGGCCAAGCACCTGGCGGAATATGTGAAATCGGACAAAGGCAAGGGAAGGCAAATCCAAATTTCAAGGTTTGCAACTGGCCAACCCTTTGGTAATTTCTCCTATGATGATCAAAGACATTTGACTGATATGTCTCATTTAATTGTTGAAGAAAATTTGCCTTTTATTTTTTCTGAAAGTCTTGCTTTAAAAGAATATGCTCAAGGTTCTTTAAATCCCCAATTTCGAAACTATAGTCGCAAAACAATTAAAAAAGAAGTTATAAGGCAATATGTTTTGGAAAAGCAAAAATTACAAACGTTTTTTGCAAACTTTGATGGACGTGTTAGTATATGTAGTGATATATGGGAGGATACTCATCATCATTCATATTAATTGGGTTTGACTGCACATTATATTGATGATGATTGGTGTATGCATAAACGTGCTCTTGCTTTTCGTGAATTTAATGATAGACACACCGGTGATAATATTTATATTCTCATTGAGCGTATTTTAACTTAATTTGGGCTAGCGGTGTTGGGAGATGCTATTTTCACCGGTGTATTTTAACATCAGTGATAATATTTAATGATAGACGGCCTAGCGGCGTTGGGAGATGCTATGGAGGTGGTGAATGGGGGAATTAAACTTATTTGGGCTAGTTCTCAACTTAAGATGCAATGGAGAATTTTTTTGAAAGAAAGACGTGTCAAATATTGTGCTTTTCCTAAAGATTTGTCTATTCGTTGGAATAGTACTTATAACTTAATTAAGGTGCTTATTAGATTTAAAAACCATTTTCCTGCTTTTTAAAAAGAATATGCTAACTATATTATAAACCCGGCCGACATCGACACTTGTGAAAAAGTTTTGAATGTTTTGGTGTATTTTAATAATGCAACTCTAACTTTTAGTCATGTTTATAAATCTACCGCAAACCAATTTTTTGTTGAAGCTGTTAATCTCGCCGGCGCTTTTTGTGAATTTGCTGATGCCGCTTACGTTAGTTATTTTTGTGACTTCATGAAACAAAAGTTTTTAAAATATTATTCCTATATTCCGCATATATATAGTATTGCATTTATTCTTGATCCTCGTTTTAGACTTGCTGCTTTGGAGCAATGTTTAAATTACTATTATGCTTCTTTTTTGGGGCCATTGCCTATGTACGACGACAAGGCTATAGACCCGAAACAACAATTTCAAGAGGTTAGTAATTTATTATATCAATTATTTAATGAGTTTCATGCACAATATGATAACGCACCCCCTCCCCCGCTACGAACATCTTCTTCATCTAAAGGAAAATCAATTTTGAAATCTGCATTTGGCAATCTTATGAAAAAAGGTAAATCGACTCCGGTTAATGAACAAAGCTCGATCAACGAGCTTTCTTTGTATCTAACATTTCCTGTTGAGTATGAAGAAGGGGATGACTTTGACGTTCTTCAGTGATGGAAGGAAAAAGAGAGAACGTTCCCGATCTTATCAAAGATGGCTAAGCAAGTGCTAGCAATGCCCCTATCAACAGTTGTTGTGGAACAAGAGTTTAGTGCGGCCGGCAACGTTCTAACGGATTATAGGACGAGATTGAGCGCAAACTCTCTTGAGACGCTTGTTTGCTTCCACGATTGGTTGAAGGCCAAACGTAGAACTCAAGAAATTAGCATTGAATCCACCCGCCACTTTATGGAAGAAACAAGGCGGAAATTCTGATTGATTCTTATTTATTAAAAAGTGTATTTCATGTTGTAGTTTTTTCTCAATTTCCAATTGAACTACATATTTCAAATTAATACAGTTTAAATTTTTATGTCCAACTAATCTGAATTAAAAAAAATAAAATAAATAAATAGCCCGGGCCCGGCCCGAAACGGCCCACAACCCGGCCGGGTAGGCCCGACCCGGACCGGACCCGGTATCACCCCGGGCCGGTTCCGGGCCCATGATTCAACAAAAAAAGTCCGCCCGTGCCCGGCCCGGAACCGGAACCGGACCGGCCCGGGTCCATCCCTAGACAAGAGGGAGTGACACGCAAATTAATAAAAAGTGGTTTATGTGGTTGATATTGAATTGATAAAGTAAGAATAAAGTAAGAATGATTTAGAGCCACACAAACTTTACCAAATTTGGTATGGGACAATCTTAGTGGGACGAACCGATAAGGTAAAATGGAACAATCAAAGCGGGACGGAGGTAGTATTATATATAAAATATGACTCAAATTCTCGTGAACCGGCTTACGAGCCACGAATCTAAAATAAATAGGCTTGAATTGAGCTTGTTAACTACTCAAGTCGAGCCGAACTCGAGTCGAGGTTAATATGACCGAACTCGAGTCAAGCTTTTCCCGAGTGATCCACGAGCAGCTCGCGAGCGACTTGGCTCATTTACACCCCTAGATAAAGGCAACACATCATACCTAATGAAACGGAATATCGATTCAAAACGTCATTTAAGCAGGAAACAACAAAAGATGCGATAAGTGAGTGTTTGGACAAATAGAGGTGATTTACATTCTTTAGAATTACATTGTATAAAAAAATAAAGATCCGTCGTTACTTTCACATCAATTCTCTATAATCAAAATGACACTCCTTTGACTTAGAACCCATTTGATAATACTCAAATTGACTATATTGACTGTTTCTGCTAAATCTATGAAAGCAGTTATATTAAAAATATATTTTACTGATAGAATAAAGAAAAAGTTATATGAAAAATAGCTAAAATGATCCTCTACAGTAATTTCAGCTAATATAGTCAGAAAAGTAACTTCAACATTATTTTTTCTTATTATTACACAATCCAGCGCAGGAAATAAAAAATTATGTGTTTGATGAAATGGCTGATAAGCCTGATAAGCGGCGAGGGGCTCTTTGGAGCATTTGATGATTCATATTTGGGGGATACATATCTTGGTCACACTTAAGAGAACGAAAAACGGGCACCTATATCAACATTTGTAATAAGGCATTATTAGTTACGAGAGATAATTATTTGTCTACAAGTAATTTGAACATGCAGATGAACTCTTATAAAAAGAGAATCCCACAATCATACCGTGTATGAGAACGTAACCTCATATTCGGGATGAGCGCTATGAGTATTCAATGCAGACGTAGAGAGTAAGGGATTTTCGGGTTGGGCTGAAGTGTACTTGAGTTTGAGCATTTTCTCTTGTCCGTTGTTGCTTTTTTTTCTCCATTTCCTTTTTTCTACTTGTACCCTTCTGTTCCACATCAGAAGGCTTCAGATCAGAACGCTTCTAATCTGAATCAAAGGGCTTGGACAGAACTCTTCTGAAATGTTACTGCAGTTATTGTTCAACGTTCTTCTCCTTTAATGCACCTTAAATGGGCAGTTATTGGACGAATTAATGGCCAACGATCTGGTGATTGATGTCCAACGTTCAGGTCCATTAAGGCACACTTAACACATAACAAATCCTTCCTTATAAGTAAGCTGGCATGTGCTTTGCAACATCAGATGAACTTACACGTTCATACACATTCCTCACGTCGTTTTAGAGCTAAAAACACCTCCAGTTTTCTTTGCAAAAAATCCTGAGTGTTCAAACCTTGTTTTCGTACGCCGGAACAATCTATGTAGGCTCATTGATTGTTTGTATTCATCGTATCATGGGAAACGATTTTCGCAACGCTCCTAGCACCCTAGGAGACAACGAATACATTTTAAGGACATTATGCGTTTCACGAGCTTTGACTATTTTAATTTTTGTTGCATCTCTTTTTTGTTTTTCTTTGGCTATAAACCGTGCACTTAAAGGTTAGACATATTCTAATTGTGGATAGAAATATACCTCAATTGAGTATGGTGGTTTTTATAATGTCCTAATCTTCAATGGGGTTAATTTTAGATGAATGTGAACCGTGACGGGATTCACACGTAGAATTAATCACAATCTCGCTGCTGTAACAGGAGTTAGAATACTTTAGTGACATTCCACTCATAAGAATTGGCGAAAGAACATATATTCATCACTAGGAGTCGTTTAGGAGTAATCCCGAATCCTTGGTTGCTTTTATTATCTCTTAAAAAAATCAAAAAGCTTTACTCTTTTGTTAATTCTTTCACTAAACCGCTTCCACTTTTGAATCATATAAACAACGTTTCCTTGTGTTCGACCCGGTATTTTTACCGGAATTTATTACTACATTGGCACTTGTACACTTGCAAGTTTCAGCCGATCAAGCATCAACCCCTGCAACATATGCCTTGAGATCACGTTTAAAGTTCTTAAAATCGATCGTTGTTGCACCATTATTCGAATAGCCACCAATTGTTTCTTTATACAAACGATAGCACTTCATGGTACTGGTCGGGCTAAACTTGCAAGTGTGCAAGTGCCGATATAGTAATAAATTCTGGTAAAATACTGGGTCGAATCCACAAGGAAACGTTGTTTAATTTAGTCCGTGAGTTGATAACTTTAAATGAAGAAATGAGTAAAGTGCAGAGATTTTGATTTGTGTGTTATATTTTTGGTTTTTCACTTTTTGCTCAAGAAGATAATCGTTAAGTAATTTTGAGTTTAAGATGAATAACAACAACAACTAAGGCTTCGGGAATCACTTAAATGCTTTAATAGGGTTGAATATTAGTTCTTTGCCAATAATTATGAATACGATGTCGCTAATATATTCTCAACTCCGGTTAAGGCAGTGAGAGCGTGATTTGCGTTATGTGTAAGTCCCGTTACGCTTACATTCATCTACCGCAAACCCCGTTGAATATCAAGACATCACACCCGTATCATATAAGACCGGATATATTTCTATTCTCGGTACTATATATGTTTATCCTTTAATGTTCATACTTTAGACTTCAACGTTAATTGCAAGTATAAACTAAATTTAACCTACTTCTATGTTGTACACCATAGTCATAAACAATCAATATATAAAGGATAAACCACAATTTATTGGTTTAGAACTTTTATCAAACACCTAATGGGCATAGAAGTTTATACCTAACCTTAGCTAAAAAATTAGCTACTAATGCTCATATTAATTACAAAAGTGCAACTAAGAACAAGGAAATATAATAACATACCAGAAAAATTACCTAGAACCAATTGTAGAGGAGAAAAATGGCTCCTTCTCAAAATAACTTGAAGAACAATAGCAAGAACAAATATAAAAACTAAGAATTAATCTATGGAATAGAATGATGATCTTGTTTTATGAATTAAGGGCTTTATATAGGCTAAAGATTGACATCTTTTAATCTATTCGAGCCCAACAATTAGACATGGAAGATATATTTGATCAGATCATGAGGAAGGTGAGGTTTTCTCATCAAAATATTGTTGCACGTCTCCTTGTTTTGTGCATAATTGGACCTAACCGGCGCCGGTTTTCTTTCGGCGCTGGCCAAATACGAAAAAATACCATAACCTGCGCCGGTTATAGAGGTGGACCGAAGCCGGTTTGCTCTCGGCGAATCCGAAAAATAGCAAATTAAATCAAACCGGCGCCGGTTTGGTAAAATTCCGGCGCCGGTTTTTCCCTGGGATTTTGAGGATGTTCCGCTACGAATTTGGACATGATTCCTTCACCAAAGTTGTATATAATGAAGTCTTCTATCCATCAAAACTTGAATGGCGTGATTTTATTCATCCAATCAAACGATATGCATAAAACATTAAGAGGTATGCATCCTGAAATTCCACCAACAACTTCTGACTTTATTGGTTGATTGAGTCTTGATCTTTTCATATTCTGGCCATGACGTCTTCATAACATTTGTACCTTATTGAGTTAATATTCACATGAAATTCTAATCGAGTGATTTAGAGTTCTATACAATGAGTTATACTCGAATTATGGGCAGAACGTCATCCTCTTGGTCCAAAAAGCTCTTCATCGCAATGGTTTATGCTCTAACTCTCATTCTCAAGATATTTTCCCAATTTCTCTTATTTTCTTAATCAAATACTTATAAATACTTATGTTAAATACAAGTAAATATAACGGCTATCAGGTACCAATATTTACTTTTGAGCAGTTCAAAACAATTTTTTGATGGCCAAGATGAGGAGATCGGTTAACCTTTAAAAATGGGCGAGATGGGATAGACGTCATGGGATGGTTATGTCGCTCTTCAAATAGGGTAACTATATACCCGTAACCTCATAACTAAACGTGCTTTGCAACCAACCCTATTTGATACACGACGCCTCTTTATGTAATCAATAGCCTTGGGGTCTGATCTTTTAAGCTCTTCATTAGAAACAGAAGTTTTCTCATAGTTAGAGGAGTTGATTCACAAATGGTAGCTTTTGGTTGATTTTTGAATCCCTCTATATTACACAAAACATACTTCCACACACATACATTGTCACGACTTTTCATAGAAGTGCTAATACGAATATCAAAACCACAAAGAACTGCATTTTTTTATAAAATCGAACCCCATCGGCAGTACCTTTAAATAGCATACCAACACATGGCCTACAACTGTCAATGCACTCTGGAATCCAATAGTTGGTCAAATTTGGAGAAACATCCAATTTATATGAATGACATGAGTTCGACATAGAACTGGAATAACTGAATTCGTAATTATCATCTCCAAGTATAAATGAATGAAGGATCAATAAGCAGTAAGTTGATCATTAAAGACAAAACGGGGTAAGGTGCATAAAACATGTATAAAATTGCAGGAATTAAAAAGTGATAGTGCAGCCCTGATTCAAATGAAGAGTAAATTAAAACCAACATAAAGCTAAAATGAAATACATGACCAAAATGTAAGAACACTTTAAACAGAAAAGAAACAACAAATATACAGACAAATATGGATAAAAGTACATACAACATGTATAAAGTGCATGAATTAAAAATGATAATGCAATGATGCATAAAGCAGGAGTAAACTAAAATCAACATAAAGCTCAACAATCGTAATAGTTGAAGCAATAAGTACTCCTACTAAGAAGATGAACTCAAAGACTATTACATCTGAGCGAGATAAAAAGTAAATATAAAATTTAATTATCCGTGAGAATATAAATTAAGAAAGTAAGAAATTCAAAGAGCCTTACTGTGATCCATACTGAAACGGCGATCAGAGAAAGCAAAGGTGTTGTTCAACTAGAAGCGTAGTAGTAAAAATCCAAAAGTAGTGACGATGGAGGGCGGCGGAGAGAAGAGCGACGAAGAGAAGAGCGAAGAAGAGAAGAGCGATGAAGAGAAGAGGTTAAGATCGAGGTAGAAACGATTATTGAAACCATGAACAAAAATAACGAACACGGTAAATAGGATTCCCAAAGATCACAGGGGTTCTGATTTTGGGAGGAAAGTGATATGGAATGACTATGTTACCCTTATACGAAAAATCAGATTATAAGAAGTAATTGTTAAATTCAATGACCCTGATTAGTTCTCATTTCTTTCATTAGTTGGGGTTCTTATATGATCTCTTCTCTCTGTGTGTGTGTATATATATATAGGGAGCGGTTCCGGTAAGAACGGTTTCCCTAGAGAGAAATGAGAATGAATTTGGACCGTTGGATTGCATTATGTGGAACTGCATTGTGCGTTTGGTAAAACTGAAATGTGCATCAGATGATATTGAAATATGCAGAATAAAAATTTAAACCCAAGTGTGCATTAGGTGAAACTGACATGTGCGGAATAAAAGGTACAAAAATAACATCACATCGTACCTTATATTCTGCATATTTTAGTTTCACCTATTGCACATTTCAATTTCACCTAATGCACAATTCAACTTCACATAATGTCACTTTATCGTAACATTTGTGTTGCACATTTCAATTTCACCTAATGCACATTACAGTTTCATCTAATGCACATTAAAATTCACTTAAAGTAAATCTAACGGTCCAGATTCATTCTCATTTCTATCCTAAGATCATGTTCTTATTTGAACCAAAACCTATATATATATGTATATATATATATATATATATATATATATATATATATATATATATATATATATATATATATATATAGGGAGCGGTTCCGATAAGAACGGATCTTAGGAGATATATATATATATATATATATATATATATATATATATATATATATATATATATATATATACAGGGAGCGGTTCCGATAAGAACGGATCTTAGGAGAGAAATGAGAACGAATCTTGGCCGTTGGATTGAATTATGTGGAACAGAAATTGTGCATTTAGTGAAACCGAAATGTGCAGAATTAAAATTTAAACTCACATGTGCATTAGATGAAACTAAAATGTGCATAATAAAAGGTACAAAAATAACATCACATCGTACCTTTTATTCTGCACATTTTAGTTTCATCTAGTGCACATTTCAAATTCACCTTATGCTCAATTTAGCTTCACATAATGTCACTACATTGTACCATTTGTGTTGCACATTTCAATTTCACGTAATACACATTACAGCTTCATCTAATGCACATTGAATTTCACATAAAGCAAATCTAACAGTCCAGATTCATTCTCATTTTTCTCATAAGATCATATTCTTATTTGAACCAAAACCTATATATATAGATATATGTATATATATCTTGTTAGGCATGTTTCATCTAACAATCATAGTATAGAACAGAATATAGATGAATAGAATACTGATTCATTACCAATAAAGATCTGGAACTACATAGTCGGTAAGAAATGGCCGCTGCTCTCTCCCTAGAGAGAGAGAGCAGCGTAAAAGCTCTATGGTATACTGTGGATGCCTCTATTCACTTACGGTTTGTGTCTATTCCTCTAGACTTTATAAGTATGAGGAATAGGCCCATTACAAAATAGGCATCTAAGAGACATACGAACCTTAATCATAAGGTGACCCATTGTCTATTAATTAAACTATATACAACACAAATACACAATTAGAAAAAATGATTTAACACCACAAAAATATCTCTACCAATCTCCCCTTTGTGTTCAATCTTATTTACTCAGCATTGCAACGCGGGTATCTTTGTCTTTGTGTTGAATTTTCAGTGCAGCTCAACTTTCTTTGTCTTCTTGGAAAGGCATCTTTAAGAAATCCTTTCAATCTCGCCCTTTGGCGTTATTCTTTCATTTTGATCTTTGATGCCGGGTGTTGAGGGATTCTTCAAAATCTTACCAGTAATCCTTGCTTTTCAGAAGTTGCTCTTGATCAGTTTGAATGAAATCCTATAACGCCTCTAGAATGAGTGTTCTTGAAGAGTTTCAGGCACACACAAAATTCATCTTCGGTATTTGATCGTCCGACCTCTGTACCCTCCAGAGTGTAGCCTTTTGTGACTATTCAATCGTGATTGCTTTTGAAGAACAGTTGTCGGCGGCACAACGGAAAATGATGGTTGAGTTGTGAGCATAGCTGACCATTAGATTTGAAGTTGACTTGGAAGTTGATGAATCTGAGAGTGTAGAGCCTCCGTTTTTTATATAGAAGATAAAAGTGTACGAGAATGATTTTTGAGATTAAACAGCACGTGGACCACTCTCCCCCTCATGACAATCCGGTGAATCAGGATGTCATGCCTTTATTCTTTTATTCGGAAAAATAAAACAAAACAGAAAAGAAAATGATAAGATAGGGACCACAGACATCATGGTGTTCCGTTATTGCAACATCAATGTAAACACTGATGTGTATAATGATAGAGATGCTACAGCTCTAACAAGACTTCAAACCAATCATCATGAGGCATCTAAAGTAGATGTCACTATGGTTGTTCTGGTGGGTCGTGAAGACCAGCAACTGACTTTAAATTATGTCTATGTCCAAGAAAATTCAAAACATTTAGTAGTGAGGTAACTAGACACGATGTGATCAATGAAAGTTTAGTGGCGTGGGGCTGAGGGCCACTGTAGTCAGTATCAATTGCCTCGAAAGGAGAAAGTGATAAGAGATGAGATTCCCTGTGAAATATGACTAAACACTTTTCTGTTGGGAGACAAGTGAGTGGTTTTGGGTAGGGTGGTGCATGCGCTGTTTGGACAAAATGCAGCGACTTCTACCACAGATCTGAGTAAATCAGTCCTGAACCTATGGGGATTGTCTCGAGTATTTTAGTGACTGGGAGTAATTCTCTCGATTGATAGCACAATTTAGGTAGCAGACTTGTCTTTGATTATTGTTTACTCCCTCACTTGAGCCTTCTGCTTTCTCACTCTCATAATATTCACACTCATCCACTCTCGGCTTTGTCCCTTGGGTAGGCTTAGACGCTTAGTTGGGTTTACTAGGCCATCGGGACATCTCTGTATGCTTTGTCATTGTTTGGCATTGGGAGGAGAAAATAGAAAACTCCCCCTCAAGATGTGCATCCTTTGAGAAAATCCTTCATTGATCATTTTATGGCACCGGGAGGAGAAAAATGTAACTCCCCCTCAGAATGTGCAACTATTGTTGTTTGTTGCCCAGAGAATAAGATTGAAATCTCCCCCTTGAAGTGTGTGTTCTTCATTGTATGACACCAGGAGGAGTGAAAAAGAAACACTCCCCCTTAGGATATGTACTCATTGATTGTTCTTGGCTTGTGCATTTGTTGATTTTCTACTCAATGAGGAGTATACACGCCAATACTCCTCTTGATAACGTGCACTGGTTGATTGCTCACAGCTTGTCATACCCGTCATGTGTGTGGAGCAATCTGTACAAGTACCACGCATGGCGGTTTTACCCTGAGTTCAAGATTTAGAAATTCAGCACATTGATCACAATGTTGATGAGTTAGGGGAGGCATCCATCTAGGGATGGCAACGGGGCGGTTCGGGGTCGGGTATACCATTACCCGTACCCGCCCCGTTTGATAATATTTCCCCCCCAAACCGCCCCGTTACCCATCAGGTATTTTTTTATCCGTGGGTAACAGTTTTCCCCGCGGGTAATGGTTTCCCCGCAGGCAACCGTTTCATTAAAAGAAAATTTTTTTCTTCAAAATTAGTATAAATCCTAAAATGATGATTAACTACTTATAATTGACCACCTAAATTAAAAAAAGTCAAAATTAAATAGCACCATAGATAAAGTTTTTTAAAACATCACAAAAAATTATAATCGTTTGAACCTAATATTCACAAATTATATATGTCTAGATTCAAAATTATGAATCTCTTACTACATCAACGTCAAAAGATTAAGTCTTGTCTCGATAGTAAAATCTAAATATGAATCACAAACACATTTAACTTCCAAAAATTCAATAATCCACTACAAAAAAATTCGCCTGTAGTCACGGATTTAGTCACGGACCGTAGTGTAAAAAATCCGTGACTAACACTTTTAGTCACGGACTTCGTCCGTGACTAGTTCAGTGACTAGTTATGCGTGACTAGAATGTAGTCACGGACAAGTGGCCGTGACTAGGTGTAGTCACGGATTAGTCACGGATCGACGTCCGTGACTACATCTTGACCGGAATAAGCCTCCGGCACGTTAGTCACGGACCATATCCGTGACTACTTTTAATTTAATTTTTTTTTGAGTTAGTCACGGACACGAGCCGTGACTAAGTTCAATTTAATTTTTTTTATTTGTGTGGTAGTCACGGACGTATCCGTGACTATATTAAATTTAAAAAAATTGAATTTATTCCGGATAAAATGTAGTCACGGATCTGGTCCGTGACTAATGTTTTTGTTTTAAAAAAAACAATTTTATATAAAAAAATAAAAAAACGAAAATTGAATTTATTCCGGATTAAAAAGTAGTCACGGATTAAGTCCGCGACTAATGTTTTTGATTTAAAAAAAAACAAATTTTTATAAAAAATAAAAAATTATTTTAATTTTATTTTAGAGCAATTACAATAAAAATAAATTCCATACGCTATTAAAAATAAAAATGTTATTACAGACAGAATTATAAAAACAAAATCGATACAATGTCAAACAATATAATGTAATTACATGCCCGTACGTCGGACTCCATTGTGATAATAATTAGAATCATCATAATCGTATTCATCATCATTATCATCATAATCACGATGATGATCCTCTTATGCATCCACGGGATCCAAGGGTCGGGAACTTCCTCGGCTGCCTCGGTTGCCTCCTCGATTGCTTCCTCGGTGGCTTCCTCGGTGGCTTCCTCGGCTGCCTCCTTCCGATGACTGAAACTGATTGAGCATATCAGGCGACAGAGATCCAAATGTCGACCCTATTGCAGGCATGGCACCATAACCGGAGTTAGAGTGGTAACGCATACCACCCATGTGCGGAACCTGAGGAGTCTGCTCAACGTGCATA